GCAGCACTCACTGGCCGCGGGAGGTGTGCACCAGCAGCGTGATGAGGGTGGAGGTGGCCGGGCAGACACAGTTCAGTGCCAGCATCGCGTATTTGCACTCCTCTTCGCAGACAACGTGATCTGAAAGGCAGAGGGGACCGTCACGGTGAGGAGGGGGACAGATGGGTTCCTCGGCTGGCAGTGCCCAGGGATGTGGTAATTTTGGGATGGTGTTTGGGGGCTGGGTGCTTCATCCTCCTGCCAGTCCGGGAGGGCTTTCAGATGATCAACAACCCACGGGGAACACCACAAAAGGGATTAATGCAGGCAGGAAAACAGGGATGAGGGCTGGAAACCAGCCAGGGGGACACCAGCGCACCGAGGTCACTGCCACCGTGTCCGTGGGGATGCACATCCAGGTACACATGGGACTGGTGTGCCCACATGCAGCCCACCCCGGGGCAGCCCAGAGTCAGTTCTCCCCCAGCCCCAGGCGCGTTGCCACAGGCATCATGATAAAGGAGCTGACGGCCCTAATGTATCTTCCAGCAATCGGGAGGAGTCTCAGCACCAGGTCATGGACTCCTCTGAGATGGAAACACCACTGGAAACATCTGTGCTGGCAGGTAGGACAGTCCAGACCAGTGAACTGAGCTGTGCTGGCCGCTCCCTCTGACTCACCGGCAAACTTGACATGAAACTTGTTTTCAGGCTTTAGGATCTGAACGTAGAGAGGACAGTTTGGAGCAAAATCTTTCACAGCCCAGGCTCTCAGGATGGTCTGGTGGTCCTAGCCGAGGAGAAGAGCAAGAGCTACTTCTCTGATGGCTTATTTTCCCCAACCCTTCTACACCCGGGATGAACTGCAAAGCATCCAGCCACCGCGGAGATGTACGGTGAGGGCTCCTCCAACACCCACTGCCAACGGGGGATAACGTCCCTCCCCTGCTCCCCAAAACCCAGCACCGATGGGAAACCGGGACAGCAGAGGGAAGGTGAGCCTGCCGGGGCTCAGCCAGCAGCGTGCTGCCGCGTGTCCCTGTGCCATCCCCATGCCACCTCTGTGTTTCTCTGTGGTCACCGCCTGCCCACGGGGACCCTTCGGCACCTTCATGACAAGCAGGAGGGCCAAGTGCCAAAGGAGGGAAGGGCCAGGCAGCACCTCGGCAGCAGGGAGGGAACGCGGCACCCCCTGCTCCGCACATTACCGCCTGCGGAAAAGTCCTTCCAGTGGGGCTGCAAGGGCTCAGGATGGCACGGGCGGGCAGGAGCCACCGCCACAGCACGGGCAGCATCCCTGGCAACGGTCGGCGGCCAGAGCTGTCACTGCCTCCCCCTCCTCTCTCTCCCATGGCTCTAAAACTAAGATCTTCCTAGCAAAGTCCCTGCCCAGGCTGGGGTAAGATTGCATTAGAGGAGGAGGTTTTGGGGTGAGCTGCCCAGGGATGCTCAGCCTGTGTGGGTGCCCAGGGGACAGAGTCAGCACTTGAACCCCACACTCTCGCCCTGGCTGCCTCCCGGCGCACTCCTGTGCCATGCAGAGGGAAGGTGCAGCAATCACCGGGGTCCCTTCTGGCCTGAGAAATGAACAATCTCCGACCGTGCCATCCCCCAGGCCTGGCTTACCGCCGCGGTGCGGTCCACCTCGTTTCGGCTGCTGAGAATGAAGCAGGCTTCTCCATTGTCCATCCTGCAGACAGAGAGCAGCGACTCCATGAATTGTTCAGGCCAGCAAAGCTGGGCATCTGCCTGTACCAGCCCGGGTGCTGCCAGCCCCCTCCAAGACCCCAGCGAAGGCATGCAGGGACGCCCATCGTCATGCATCTGTGCTGACATTACTGGGGACCCCTCTCTGCGGCTCCAAGGCCTGCGGGCAGCTCAGCAGCGCGGCAGGACGGGGCTCGCCGTGGATGTGCAGCATGTCCCTCTGCTCACTTGGCTCTCATGAGGTCCTGGTCCTTCAGCGCAGAGCCCTGCAGGTAGATCACTCGCTGCGACCACAGAGGGATCTGCAGGACCCGCCGCACCTGGATATCCATCTCTGTTGGGCAAAGTATCACCACGTAGTAATCCTGAAAGAGAGAGGCTCAGGTGGGTCCGCAGGCTGAGGGTCCCGCACGCGCCTGCCGCAGTGAGCTGAGACACCGGGGTTTGCTGCCTGAGCAAACGGCTCCTCTGGGGCTTCTGATATTTGCTCCTGGTGTGGGACACCCCCTGCCCCTGCTCTAGGGTCCTGCAAGGGTCTTGGGAAACACATCAGCATCTTCTCCAGCCCGTTCTGTGTCATAAAGCCAAGGCAGGCACACCTGACTATGGAACTGGGAAAGAGCTGCACGCCCACAGCCGTTACCGCAGTGAGCAGAATTTTAAAAGCTTGAATGTATGGAATCAAGGTTGGGAGATGGTAACGAAGCGTACGTGAGCGTTGGAATGAAATGCAAATCTGAAACACGTCTGTGATGCTCTCATCCTGGGGAGCAGGAAAGGCACAGTCATTTGCAAGATGATCACTTATTATGTGGGATACTCCCCTAAAAGCTGGGTAAATCCCACCGAGGTTTAGCAACTACATGTTCTGTTTCTGTCCGAGATTCTTCATTCAGTAAAGACACCCTTACGTTTAGAAATGTCCCTCTGGTCCCTCTCCATGTGCTCACACAGTGCCCGGACATGCCCGGACAGAAACCAGGGTGGATCAGGCAGAGAGCCCCACCACTGAGATGGCCAAGGGAGGTGGCCCTAGGGCACCTCTTGTCCCCTCGCCCCGGCCAGTGCAGCACGCGCTTCCCACTGCTGGCCTGGATGGTTTTTACCTTATTCTTTGCCACATCCCCTGTAGCTGGGCAGGGCACTCGCCACCAGCGGCGACCCGGCCGTGCCCAGCAAGGGCAAGTCTTGACCAAGCACACGAGAACATGCCTGGTCCTCACCTGCAGGCGCGGGTGGGCGTAAAACTCGTTGAGGAAGTCCATGAGGAGATCGATCTTGAGGGAGCTGACACAAAGGACGACGTGTTTCTCCGTCTGGGCACGGTGACGGCTGTAATTGCCTCCCGACTTCTGCCGCTCCATCCACAGGTAGACGAGCTCCTCGAACTGCAAACAAAGGCAGAGAGTTGATGTCCCTGTCGACAGGGCTGCCCAGGCGCAGGCTCTGCAGCCCTCTCCATCCTCGGTCGTGCAGGTCTAACCTGGAGCGGCAGCACGACCAGGGCGACACAAATCATTATCACGACGAGGAGCTGGGAAGGCCAGATCTTTGGTGTCACGTCTCCGTAGCCCACAGTGGAAAAGGTGACAATGCAGAAATAGAAGGACTTGAAGAGGGAGAGCTTCTCACCTGCTCTTTCTAAATGCTGGATGCCACAGGTCCTGAAGGGAGAAAGCACACACCTCAGGGAGTGCTTCCCTGGCCGGGAGACAGGCAGTGCCCGTAGTGCCTGCCGCTGAAGTCAGTGGGGAACCCTAGAAGGTGACTTACACCCACGTCCATGGAGGAAATCTGTCTGTAACACACTGTCGGCATCAGCAGTGGATTTATGTCACCGACAGAAATGATTCAGCTAACGGCGCTTCCAGCTGACAGAGTCAGTTTGATGTGGTTGCTCATCAAAGCAACATGGGGAAGTCCAGTCCACCCATGGGTGATGGGTCACGATAAGACCATGCCACGGACAGCTTGTGGAACATCACCCTGCGAGGCAGCTGCCCTTGCATGGCAAAAAACCAACACGTGGAAGCAAGCAGCTGTCAGTAAGGCTCTGGAGGGACTCAGCCCGTGGGAAGGGCTCCCCGTTACCGGGGGGTGTGCTCCGGCAGGCAGATCCTGTCCCCGCTCCCGGCCCTGTGCCACTGCCCTTGTAAAGCCTTGCAGCATAACTCCGCAAACCTGCAGTTTCAAAGTCACCTCGCTAAACACAAGTGTCACCTAAGTCGTCCTGGACCGGAATTGTAGCCCTGCCACAGCCACCAAGAAACACGTCCACGGCCCCAGCGGGCAGGAGGTGCCATGGGCAGGGAGCACTGATGAGCTCCAGAATTGCATTAGCCGTTCGCATCAGAGGATCGTCTTTATTGCCAAAGACGCGTGAGCCTAAAAGCTTCATTTCCTGTCTGTTCTGCAACTTAATGGCATTATACGCTTCAAATCCAAACCGAGGGAGCCAGAGGAAGATTCAAGAAGCCTAATTCAAAGCTAAGTACCCAGCGATGAGAACGGGCTCCTTTACAAAGAGATGCCCTTGTTGTCGGCAACGCGTGGGGTGAAGGGCCAGGTTAATTAGCAGGAGCCCCAGTGGCCCATTACACAAACGAGCTCGGCAGCCATGGTAACTTGGTGGGGAGGAAGAGTGTGGTTGGAGTCAGGGAGTGCGGTGGGTCCTGGTGAAGGAGCCGTCACACACGTCCGAGCTCGTGTCCCCCGTGTCCCCATGTCCCTGCCCTCGACCCTGCAGCACTCACAGCCCTGCTCTGACTCTCCCGTGTCCGCATCGCCCATCTCCCACCGACAACGACCTCATCCTCACACAAACCCGTTAAGAAGTTTCTGTTAAAATCACGTAACTGAGGAGGATATTCAGTTTCTAAAATAGGAATTGATCTTCCCAGTGTTCAGCGTGCTGGGAAATGAAGCAAGGCCAGGAGGAGCCCGGCGCCGGCGGCTGATGCTGTGGGGCGTCCTCCCAAAGCTCCAGGCAGACGTGGCTGTGCCCAAGGCAAAGCCCATGGACAGGAGGGGAAGCCTGCGGCACAATCCTCACCGTGGCTCCCCGAGTTCCAAAACCCAGGCACAGGAACCGGGACTTGTCCCATTAGCGAAGGAAGGACGCCAGAGACTTGGGAGGTCAACCCAACCCGCAGCCCTGAACAGTTATGCTTTCCTCAGTGCGCACACATCTCTCAGGCTGAAAAATCAGGCTAGAGCACACTGCCTAAAGGCAGAACGTCCTCCAGCTTCCCAGATCACCACGTTGTGTCCTGGCAATGGCACCCCACCACAGCTGGGAGGGTCCCACCCCACCTCCCTCTCCCGTAAGCCCTGCAAGAGCCCGGCTCTGCCAGTCATAGAATCACAGAATCATTATGGTTGGAAGAGACCTCAAAGATCATCAAGTCCAACCGTATACCTGATGCCACCATGCCCGCTAAACCCACTAAACCATGTCTTGAAGCGCCACATCTAAACGTTTTTTGAACACCTCGAGGGATGGTGACTCCACCACCTCCCTGGGGAGCCCGTTCCAATGCCTAACGACTCTAACAGTGAAGAAGTTCTTCCTAGAACTTCCTAGGAAGTTCCCAGTCACCCCTGGCAGGTGCAAAGCTGTTTTCCCTGGGTGAAGAAGGTGGTTTAGTGAAATGAAGGGCAACACTCACCCGGTGAAGACGAGACAGAGGAGGGTGCAGATCAGAATGAGCACCTGGTTGAACATCGCGGACTGGGTCCTTTGTATGGCTCGGTGCAGGTCGTTCTGGGAAGAGAGGAGAGGGCTCTCACCGGCTCAGAGAGGCTGAGGGCAGAATACCCCTCCAGGTACCAACTGCTGCCTTGCTGGCTCCAGCAATGCCCCCCCAGACGAGGGTCAGCCCAGGATTTGGCCCTTAAAAAGGGTTGTGCGTTTCTGCGAGCAGGTCTGGGCTCTGCTGTCGGGAGAGACAGCTTGAGTGGGTACGTGGGACAGGCTGGAACATCTCGTCCCGCTGTGATGCCATATCCCGGGGAGAGCCGGAGGCCGTCCCTGTCAATATGCAGCCGACAGCGTCAATGCGGCTCAGACCCCAAAGGGCTCCTGCTCCACGGCAGGTCCCAGCCCAGCATCCCCACCTGGCAAAGCCCCACCGGTGCGGCTGCACGCACTGAGCACCGACAACCTGCCCGAGAGCCGGCGGCAGGCGAGGGCCCCCCTCCCGGCCCCGCCGTCCTCAGCATCCCCAGGGCAGAGGGACATGGGGTGAAAGGGGTGGGATGTGTCCGGTCACTCACAATCATGTTCTCCAGGGCGTACTTGGCAAGCCAGCAGTTCAGAAACACAGGAATGAACAAATTCCGCAAAGGAGGCCAGAATATCTATGAAAGCAAGAGTTACTCGCAGAAAAACTCCTGTTCTCTACCAGAAAAAGTGACAAGCAGCCAATTCAAGCCCTGTCGGGAAGGGGACCATCTCCAAACTAAGCCCTGGCCTCTGCAGAGGCTGCCACCGAACGCTACCTCGCTCCCCTCGCTGCAGCGGAGCAGCCGGAAAGGGAGGATGGTTTTGGGGGTAACGCTCCAGAGAAAGTTATTATATTGAAAAATATTGAAGCAAAAATTTTGTGCAAGCTATAATTACTGCTTGGCCAGACATCCATTTTTCTGTATTTCACCACCAAAACTACAGCGCTTCTTAAACTTACAGTTGCTTTAAAATGTCACTGGGAAACACTCACCGTGATAATAAATGGCACCGTGTTGATCATCTCAAGGATGAACGAAATGCGAAAAATCTGTTCCCAGATGTTTCCCTGAGGAATTAAAAACAAATAATAATTAAATAAGCTTAAAAATCTGCCAAACGACAATTAAAAAGCTCCCACTCTGCCGCAGACCCTGCTAGATGGGGGCAGTCCAGCAGCACAGCCAGAGACGTGCCGGTTTGCCCGCAGGAGGGAGATGCGGGGCTGGTGGCAGACACGCCGGAGGCACTAAGACCTTCCCAAACCGTTCGGTCGTTCCCGCAGCCAGGACATCCCTCTGTCCCTCACCGCTGCTGCCAGGGGACAACAAGGCTTCAGGTAAGGGCAGAGAGTGAGAGTGACCGATACAGACGCTGGCACTCAAACCAGGCGGGTGACACAGGGTCTGAGTCTCTTCTACCAGCTGGCCCAGGGACCCCAAGACGATGCCATTTGTTAAGGTCACTTTTCTTGGCCATTTTAAGGGGCTTTTGTCCAAAGGAGTCAGCTTGTGCCTCTCCCCGTCTGCCCTGGAGCCGTGCCTGCTACCTCCGGAGGCAGCAGGAGTCACGCTGCCGAGCTCAGCTCCAGGTCCTCAGCCTTCGGGAACTTGGCGTGCGTCAATCTGGCCCCCCACAAAACCAGTGAGCCTTTGTAAAACAGGTCTGAATTTAAAGGAAAGCGGAAAAAGAAGAGATCCCCCCTCTCTGCTCTGCACAACACTTCTCCAGCAGCCTGAGGGAGAATGAGAAGGGAAAACAGCCGCAGCCAGCTGAGACATCACCAAGACAAACGTCCTCTCGGGGTGCTTCAGGCTTCCGACAGCTCAAAGAAGGAGAAATGAATTCACGCCGGGGGGGTCGGACCCAGGCTGCACATCACTGCCCACCGCCCGCCCCGGGGCACTTACCTTGTAGCTGAGATAGATGAGCAGCATGGTCTCCAGAAAGCTGATTAAAGCTATGCTGACCTGCAGAGACAGACAGGCCAAGGCTGCTGAGGGCTCGTTCGACGCATCGGCCGTCGGTCGGAGCTCTGCCCAGCCCTCCCTGCCCTGCGGGGCTATCGCAGAGCGGGCCCTGCTCGTTTGCTTTCCGTGCCCCCGTTCAGGATGGACGTGTGA